TTTTGTTGTGTTCTTGTTGCTGTTCTTGTTATTGTTGAAAAATAGTGAGGCACACGCGCGGTCAAGGTGTAAATGCACTTTTATTGTCATTTTTGTATGATGGCAGCCGGGACGGCTGCAAGCTATGCGGGGGGGGGGGGGGGGGGATGTAGGGCTGTTAAAGAGAGGGCCCGTTATGCATGGCAGCCTATGGAAAACAAACACAGTGGGCGGGGCTACGTAAGTGCACGAGGAGGTGCCCTCTACGACGTCCGAGCCAGACACCCTGGGGGGGGGCTGGTTCGAACGTTATGATCCCCCGGGGCCCCACCCCTCAGGAAGGGGTTGGGTATAAAAGGGGATGTTCAAAGGGCTCGAGTCAGTTATGTTTAAGCTAAGGGAAGAAGACTGAACACGTCTTAGATAGAGCCCTGGACTCCCCTAGTTCGATGTCCTTTTCAGGGCCGGACAGTACTGAGCCAGCGGCGTGGTCCCGAAAGCCAGAGCCGGTGCTCTTGTAAGAGCTGGTCTGGAACTCCGGGTACCGGGCCCGACTTACCAGTGTCGGGCCAGTTAGCCTCCCCTAGCCCATTAGTGGAGGATTCGGGGCTAGGACAGAGTTAGCTAGGGGTGTATCCCGAGTTATACGGGTGAGGGGGCCGATACCGCCTCGAGTGTGTATATGCCCACTGTCGTATTGTGAAATAAATATACGTGTGCCTCAACCTCGGCGTCAAGCGTCTTCACCGGTACTTCACATGCATAACATCCTAATTGGCAGATATGTGCTTTACTTATTTCATTCATTACACCCATTGTCAAATCCAATAAACGTAAGTCGTCCATCTACTTGCTTTTTAACTATCCCAAGAATGAGATTATAATAGACAAAGCCTTTCCCGTTGAAGCACCACGTTTTGGAACAACCTCATTTCTTCCCTTAACATCGTAAATCTTCCTTCAAAAATATCCTGAAGCAGAAGATGAGTGCTGGATACAACGACATTGCCAATGTCATTTGTGACTTTGATCCTTACCCGTGTATCGATAGTTACCTTTCCTATACTTTGCAGTCGAGGCAGTTTTTTTATTTTTGTTGTTGTAACTGTCTGGCCCGCCCCTGCTGGACATATGTGAATAAGAGCTTTATAGCTCATCGGATTCCTCCCGCAGCCTAAATAAAGATTCTAATTATATCATGTCGGATAAGAAGAGTTCTCCTGTACATGTCTGATGAATAACTTTACAAAGACAAATACACTCACTCACATGACAGGAAATGTGGCACGAATGAAGGTAAAAAAAACAAATAATGAGAAGCAGAACTTACTTTTCAGTGCACGTCTTTTTTTTAAATGACTGAACACGCCTGCAACACCCACCACCATTAGCGCTAAGAAGACCACCGCTCCTGCGGTGGCTGGGACCAGCACATTTGGGGTCTCGTGTTCACTGGGAAGCGTTGAGCGTAACAGCTCGTCCATTGGTCTCATAGAAGAATGAGATGTAAACGTTTCGACTGTTCCACTTTGGCTTGCGAATTTTTCACACAGAGCCTTCATGTACACCATGCCTGATGAGAAATAGCAACAGTAAGATACACTGTATCCTACAACGTGTAATGTAAACATGCAGACTTGCATGTTATAAAGATTATCTTTGTAATATAGTTACAGGGTTTTTTTGCAGACTGGTCTGCCTAAAATGCATCTTTTGGATGAACCATGATGGATAGTTTGAGAATCTCACATTGTTGAAAGCTCTGGACACAGTCCCATTAGTTGCCTCCTCTGACAGACCAGGAAGCAATGGCTGAGTCATGAAGTTCAAATAGCCAGCTACTGTTTTCTCAAGCAGGATTTGTTTGGCTGTCTAGAGGGGGCTACATGGGCATGACATGGGTTTGAGAAAAGCTGGCCTGAGGTGGTAAGGAACGAATTTAACTCTGTGAACTTACTGAGAATGATTGGTGTCTAGATCGACCTCTCTGAACAAGGCTTGTGAAGGATGCGATTGTGCAATTGGAGAGAATCGCCCTCCATCAAGAATGGAGGGAGGAGGAACTTCGCTCACAACAATGAGAAGAGTGCCGAGTGAATAAAATACAGTGAGGTGCCACAGTGAGGAGCATAGCAGTGCATCTAGCAGTGATATCAGTTAATAATCCGATCATTCATGGGTCTGTCCCGTGACCACATGCCAGTGAGCCTTCAGCATTCCATGTGACCTCAAAGTACACCTTGCTTCGCACTGGAATACTGGTGACATCATGCCCACTTTCTATCCGATTTAATGTCAAACCTTTTTTAAATGCTGTTCATTTGTATTGAGCATCCTTAAAAACATGCAGGTACAAACTTCCATAAGGCCTCCTGTTAACAAAAAGTAAAAAATGTCTGTTCCCATTAAAATGTCAGGTTATTGGATTTGCTTGTTATAATAATTTCCTCCATTATTATTTTCCAAAAATGTCAGCGCTTTTAGGACATGATTAGGATTTATTTAATTATTTCGTCATGTTTCATATTACTCTTTGGTTATTTCGGGAAAGTCATGTAGAAAAGCAAATCAAATAATAGAATACGACGTTTCGGTTGCAACACAAGCAACCATCATCAGGTAAGAATGAATGATTAAACACAGACACGGGAACAGCATAGGCAGACACACATGCAGAGAGAGGCACACACAAAGACACACAGAGCGAGACATACCAAGACAAACAGACGGACGACTCTGTGCCGAGGCCTTAAATAGAGAGAGGGGGGAGGGGCCGGGGCAGAGAGAGAGGACTGGGGAGGCGGACAAACGAGGGGACAAGGAGGGAGCAGTGTGGAATTCCAGACCACAGTGGCCGGAGGAGAGACAATGGTTTAGAGCAAGAAAATAGAAAGTTTGAGAAAGCAAATTTAGTAGAATTAAGAAGTGGAATGCAATGCAACACCGAGGGTCGGCTAACACACAGTTAAAGCATAGCCTCGTTGATTAACATTCTTCCAAAGATTGCTCAATTAGAAGTGGGTCTGCCTATGCTGTTTCCGTGTCTGTGTTTCATCACACTTTACTTATAATTTAGAATTCTTTGGAAGAACGTTAATCAACCAGGCTATGCTTTAACTGTGTGTTAGCCGACCTTCTGTGTTGTATTGCATTACGCTTCTTAATTTTACTAAATTTGCTTTCTCAAACTTTTTATGTTCTTGCTCTAAATCATTGTCTCTCCTCCGGCCACTGTGGTCTGGAATTCCACACTGCTCCCCTCGTCTGTCCGCTGGTGTCGCCTCCGCAATCCTCTCTCTGCCCCGGCCCCTCCCCCCCACTCTCTATTCAAGGCCTCGGCACAGATTCGTTGTCCTTCTGTTTGTCTTGGTGTGTGTCTCGCTCGGTGTGTCTTTGTGTGTGTCTTTCTCTGCATGTGTGTCTGCCTAGGCTGTTCCCGTGTCTGTGTTTTATCTTTAATTCTTACCTGATGATGGTTGCTTTTGTTGCAACCGAAACGTCGTATTCTATTATTTTATTTTCTATGTGACTTTACCGAAAGAACCAAAGAGTAATTCCTGCAGTCACGAAAGCTTCGAATCATGTTTCAGATTGACTACTGGAACGTTATTCTTGGTTCTTTTGGTAAAGTCACGTAGAAGGGAAATAATAAAATAATAAAACATACACATTATAAAAATTCTCACGGCGTTTCGATTGCAACACAAGCAATCATCATCATCAGGGGTGAAAACTACAGCAAGAAATTGTTAGCTGAAGTGGGAGAGATGCTGTGGTAAGGGGTTATATAAGTTAGAGAGGGGGGAGGAGCAAGGGAGGGGGGGTAGCGTTGCGTGGAATGCTACTGGACGGGGGGGGGGAAGTGGGCGGGGCTAGAAAGGTGCAGAAAACCAATGCCTCTGCAGCAAAGCCAATGAAAGACACGAAAGCAACAGTAGCAGACGTTGGGGAAGAGCAAACAAGCTAACACCACTACAGTAAAGCCAATAATAGACAACAAAGCAACAGTAGTACTGCCAAACGCTGGGGATGCAATTAACTCAATCAAAGACCCGAAATTGGTTATCACGTCCTTCCAATGATTGCTGGAACATTCTTCTGCATGGCCTTCTTAAATCCCTAACAGCAAAACTCTTGGTAATAAAATTTTTGCCACCAGACTTCTGACCCAAAAAATAGATCTCGCATAACAAAATCCCTTCGGCTGTCTTCTAATCCAAGATATCAGTTACAACATTGCCCTCACTGTTTTAAAGAAACTAAATGGTCTTGCTGTGGCCTACCTCTCCACTCTCAAAGTCATCCTCCATAGTGAGGGAGTTCACTCATCCTACTCTGTTGCTGTTTAGCATTCTCTCCCTCTGGTTGTCTCAACTGCTGTTTTCATCCTCTCCTCTTTAAATTTACACTCAAGTCCTTACTTTTCTCATCGGTCATTGACTCATTTGCAGTGCCACTCCTGATGCACGGCTCACACCTTCTCCCTGACTATCCACTCCCTTGGGGATAGCCCTCTGACCCCTAGCTATTTACTTGACCCATAAATTGTATTCATCCGAATCACCCCCAGTGGTCCGAATAATCACCTAAACTAAAATCCCGAAGCTGGAGTGGATTTGAATCGATTCCATTCGATTGATTCCGACATTTCAATAGCATGGGAATGGCATTTATAGTGAGAGCTTCTATCGTTCCTATTCCAAATCGATGACGACTCTAAATTTATAGACCTCTTTTCAAAGTGGCATCTCTTCCGGATCAATTCGGATTCGCAGGCAACAGCGACGCAGGAACCCGCTCCCCCACCATAAAATGCGGCCACTGCGGAGCTGTGATGACAGTCGCCTGTGCGCCAATCAGCGCGGGCCCTCCGTGACCTGCACCTGCCCGATTCGCAACACAGAGCAACCCACGCTGGTGTTTGGATAATAATTGCACAATGGCAAGCATGAACTGCATAAAAACCCTAAGAAAAGTACAACGTGTATAATTTGTCTTGTCAAGAATACGCGCCACCTTACCATGAAGACAACTTGTTTCTCTGGAGCCTTCACTTGCAGAAACTTGACAATTTTGTGCTTCACGAGCGTCCTAAGAAATATTTCAACCTTTAAAAATTACAACGTATCTTCACATGTTACAAAGTACAGAAAGTAAACATTCCAATTGTATGGTTTAGGAAAATTTGCCATGCATCTGTTACTTATGAATGGAATACAATATAGCATTTATACATTTCACAATAAATCACACGGTTGGATTTAATTATCTGTAAAAAATAAATCTAACATTGTTTATCTGTGGTGTAATTAGTCGATAATTTCGTGATTGTCAACGTTCACACTGGCCATAGCTTAGATTCCTGTACCGTGTGAACGTCACGAGCATTACTCGCTGTCTGCCAAGTTCATTACACCTCCAATTAGCACGGTTGGCTACGTGCGGTGCGAAAGAAGTTCGTTATACGTACATACTCTGAAATCCAAACTTTATTGGCAATGTCGGTGTGCAGCCCGTCTGTCAATCCACTGCTGAATGAGGGCTTCCCCACGCCATTAAAACAGTGAGGGTTATTTGACCCTACTTCACCACTTTAGTCAATGGAAGTTGGCGGATGTGGGGCAGCATAGAGCAATAATGTATTTTGCTGTACTGCGCTCTAATGTCGACAACAGCTACTACTGTTTTTGTGCTTGATAGTCGCCCATCCAAGCGCCATTTAGTCACAGTGATGCTTAGCTAATTGGGTTGCGGATTGACTGTGATTGCAAAAAAAGGTGAAAACAATGCAGGAATTTAAGGCGTGAACTGCTCCTAATTCATCTGCTCCTCACTCGTCAAGGCTCAGTGGCTCGGTGTGAACCTCGTGACCGTAACACGTTAAGTAATTCGATAACTTTAAGAAACATTACAAAGTGACTACTTGTTTGACATATTCATCCCCATTCTACATGATGAAGTTAATACATACCATCGGTTTATAGCCTGCTTTGAAGTGTTATGAGTAATCTGTGTTTTTGTTTTATCTGTACTGCCCTCCTCCCCCGCAATGTGAGAAGTGCAGAGCGCCATACGTTCTCCATTCATTAAGTCCAGGATGGAGCACTCCACCAGGTTTGAATGGCCCTTCCATCACATGTGATCACATTCATTAATGTACGTGCTGTTACCTTTAAGCGGAGTCTAATTTTTCTTGAGCCATCGACCCATTCTTTCAATTCATACTTGTAATGATTGTGTCCCTCGTAAACATCAATTGAGTCAAGGTACCAATCGGAAGCCAGTCCACGTTGGTTATGAGATAAATTAAATTCCGTTATGCATCCAAGATCTTTCGTTTTTATCGTGAAGAAATCAATCTGGAACACATTAACACGTGTCATTTTCTTTCAAAGTCAAACTGCAATACTAAATACAGATAATATACGACTAGGGTATGAATTATATATGCGATGTTTGAAATTATGGTTTAGAAACATACCTGATTTTGTTCAAAACAGTTACATGATGAGTTTAAAAGCTCAGCTTCCAAGTTATTTTTGCTTCCATTTATAAAAATGAAAACACGAGAATCTGTTCCAGCATGCAACAAATCTCCTGTGTGCACCTTTATGGTGTAAGTCTTCTCCACCAAAGCTGCAATATATTGACATATGCTGATTAGTGTTCTCAATCGGGCAAATAAGTAAAACGTTATTGAATATTAACCAAATAAATATCCAATCCACAATGCAAATCTTAAGACTGTGTGGTCAAAAATAAACCACTTAGAGACACGTCTACATCCAGAAGCATACTTCTTTGCCAAATGTTGCAGAAAGCAGAGGCAGAGAGCTGCACCCAAATTTATAAATAGAGCGTTATCATATATAAGAGTTGAATCAACCAAAGTGGTATTTCATCAAAACAGAGGACCTAGTGAGACCAAAAGCTGACAATAAAGAATCTACCAAATCTACATTTTGTTATACATACTGTGTTCAATCACCACCATGCAAGTCATAACACCTTTCCTCGCAATGCTCCACTTGGGAATTCCCTCCCATAATCTTTTTTCTCAAGTTCTTACAACCTTGCCCAATTCTTGAAACCTATTCAATCTTACACATGACAGCCGGCTAGCCGTTTAGAAATATCTAGGCTGGCCTTCCTACGATCCATCCTGGATTTAACCAAGCTGGATTGTGTGAGGAGCTCACAAATCCTTGAAAGATGTAGACAAAGTCCCATTGGTGAGCTTCTCCAGCAGGCAAGGCTTTTGTTCGGCTGGATATAGGGGGCTAAACGGGCGTGGCACGGGCTAGAGAAGATATGGAGTGATGTGGTACAAGAGGATGTGGAGCTGAGTGGACTTGCCAATGACTGGTACCAGCGGTGCTAAGATCAGCCTCTGTGGAGGAGGCTCGTGAAGCATGCTAATGGGCATTTGGAGGCAGTCGCCCTCTAGCAATAACGGAGGACAGAAGAGTGATGCTCACAATAATGAGCGGAGCGCCGGGTGGCTAAAGCACAGCAAGTTGGCACAGTACGGGGCACAGGCCGATGCCAGTCATCTCAGTCAGTCAACCCATGGCATCTGGGTCTGTCCCGTGACCTTCACATGGCCTTAACGTGCACATAGCCTGGCACAAGCACCGTGGTAACATCACCGCCACTTCGTGGCTAATGGCGGTTGTTGTGCTAAGCAACTGAAATGAAAAGGAAGAAGAATCCAGAAATCCTAGGCCAAATGTATGAGTTGGGCAGACTGTGACATACTTGTCAAGTTCTCGCTGAATACAATTCCACATGATAGATTATTCTCAATTATTTGGCACTGTTCCCCAACGCAACGTGATGAGAGTTCTATTCACTGTCGTCAACAGGCAATCCCAACACAGAAGAGAGGGGCTGGGATTTGGGCAGAGCATCATGAAGCCAAGGTATAATCGCCACCCACAACTAATCTGGATCCAACCAAGACGTGTACATTTTTTTACGTAATGTGACTTAAACAACAGAAAACGCTGCTCTGCATCCTTATCCCCTTTGAGACCAGCATTAACGACCATCACTTAGAAACGTTGACGAATGCACCAACAGGTTTTGTTTTCAGTAAACATCTATGATCAAGAGTGAGCAAGTTTAATGCATCGTAAATAAAATTGTTAAATAAAATGTATTTTCCTTTGTATACGATGTATATAAAGCAGAATTTATCTCTTTTGACAATCTGCTCTTTTGCGAACTATGCATTAGCTGTTTATTCTTATGGTGTGCATGTTTACGTTTCTTACCCATCACAGTTAATCTTACACTCGTACTCAGTTGGTTATTGTGTTCAAGCCATGTGTGACTCAACACATTCCAGTCATCCATGGTTGTTGCATTTTTGCACGAATATTCAGCAAGGGAGGCTGCAGCAGCACATCTGTACGTGCCCGAGTCAGAGACCTCCGCGTTCCTTATGTTTAGGTCATGGTTTCTGGAGCAGGAGTACGTCGCGTGTCTGGCTGATGTCCCCTCGTCACTCTCACAAGAGAGCAAAAGGGCTCTGTCCACAGAGCACACGACCACAGGCACCGGTGGGCTGCTGTCTCCTTGTGTCGTCTTGAACCAGACCACGCTGCCTGGCTCCTTGCCGACATCTGGGCCACACGGCAGCCAGGCCCTGTCTCCAACTTCCACAGAGATGGCAGTGTCCAAATTGCCTGCCAAAAGGTGACACATTTAGATAATTATTTCCCAAAAACCTAAAAACCTCTATTATGAATTATTTCCAGTTAAGAGTAAATTACAAAATTGCTAATGATAAACGATATAAACACATTATAGAGTCATCATTACTATATACTCAATTTAAGATCCTGCAAGTTAAACATATTTTTCAAGATGTAAGGTTTGAGTGGCTTGAAATTACATGTTCACAGTCTCAGGTTCTAGACAACAACTTGTCAACGATTTCCTTCAAACCACAATAAAAATCCCTTAATTTATGGTTAAACTTATTTTCGACTCACAACAAATCCACATTTACACGTTTTGCATTGCAGTAAAGTTAATATCTATTTTATTGTATTGTTAATATAATAATGAATTAGGCATCATTACATGATTGATGTATTTAATTTATGTGTAAAGATTTAATATTGGATTGGAGAAATACATACATTTATATAAATAGTAAAATATTAACCATCTCATTACAACTCCGAATGGATATTAACTATAATGATAGAACTTAACAAAGAAAGCAACAACGTTGGCCCTTTGATTACTATGAAAAAAAAATCGAATCTTACCTATAAACGTCACTTTTTGTCTGTCTGTCCTTCTGTCTGTCTGTCCGTCTGTCTGTCTGTCCGTCTGCGTACGCTCGCTTTGGAGGGATTTGGTGCTTGGGCCGTGGGGTTTAGGAAGAAAACATTTTGCAGGTGGGCACGCCCCCGGCCCCGCGGTGAACGTAGGCATTTCCTATTTTTCGTCCGTCGCCTTTACATCGGTCCGATTATCGATTTCGTGTGATTTCTCTTTATTTATTTATTTACTATTACTATTGCCGACCGGCGCTGACCACGGTGGTTGCCCCTGGCAACGGGTAGTGACGCCTTCGCTGCCGGGTGGACGCCATTTTTAATTCCCGTTAAAAATATGCACACGCATTAACACGCGACGCTGAGGTAAATACATCAAAGTTTCACTTCCCCCCCACTCCAATGTGTGCACTTACTATTATAGGGTCGGTAGATAATAAAATTATAGCGATTATACAGTATTTTTGTAGCGCGGGGGGGGGGGGGGGGGTGGTAGCGGCCCAGCCCCTAGCCTCAGCCGGGTGGGCCATCTAGGCGAGGCCGGAGGCTCTGCACGGTACTAGGCCTCGACACCCCACACGTGTCAGGAGAAGACTTTTTGTGCTATAAACTCGATATACCCAGCGTTGCCCGGGGGGGGGAAATACATTTAAAATCTTCTGAAAACTTTAAAACATTACATACAAATGAAAATACAACTGTGTAATTACTTTTAAACCCGACGCGCCAAGAATCGATTTTCTGAATCGCGCAGAGGAATCGATGGTTGTAGATTCATTTAGAATCGCCCTGTTCCCCTTTAAAATAAGTTGATTATAGAGTCGATATAAACTGCTACGAATGGGAAATATCCGGCGTTGACCGGGGCAAAAATATTATTAAAAACTCCTGAAAACTTTCAAACATAACATACCAATGGAAATAAACATGTAATTAAACATGTATCCCAAGCGCGAAAAGAAGCGATTCTTTGCTATCGTTGCGAAGGAATCAAGGGTTGTATATTACTTTAAAATCGCCCTATTCCATTTTTAACAAACTGCGTGTCGCAGACACACACATTCACACATTTTGCTTTTACATTTAACATACAAAACGTCAGCATGTACTGCTGTCATCATAGACACAAATATATACACCCTCACCACTCTCCCTCACCACTTTCCCTCACTCACCCTTTGTGATGATGGTGAGTGGTGAGGGTGAGTGGTGAGAGAGTGGTGAGGGAGAGTGGTGAGGGTGAGTAGTGGTGGTGAGGGTGAGTAGTGAGGGTGAGTGAGTGGTGAGGGTGAGTGGTGAGGGTGAGTGGTGAGTGGTGACGGTGAGTGGTGAGGGAGAGTGGTGAGGGAGAGGGGTGAGGGTGAGTGTTGAGGGTGAATGGTGAGGGTGAGTGGTGAGGGTGAGTGGTGAGGTTGAGTGGTGACGTTAGGTGGTGAGGGTGAGTGGGGAGGGTGAGTGCTGAGGGTGTGGTGAGAGTGAGTGGTGAGGATGATTGGTGAGGGTGAGCGTGAGTGTTGAGGGAGAAGGGTGAGTGGTGAGGGTGAGTGGTGAGAGAGTGGTGAGGGAGAGTGGTGAGGGTGAGTAGTGGTGGTGAGGGTGAGTGGTGAGCGGTGAGGGTGAGTGGTTGTTGTGACGGTGAGTGGCAGTTGTGAGTGGTGATGGGTGAGTGGTGAGTGGTGAGCGTGAGTGGTGATGTTGAGTGGTGAGGGTTAGTGGAGAGTGGTGAGTGGTGATTGGTCAGGATGAATGGTCATTAGTGAGGGTGAGGTTGAGTGGTGAGGTTGAGTGGTGAGGTTGAGTGGTGAGGTTGAGTGGAGAGGGTGAGTGGTGAGGGTCAGTGGTGAGGCTGATGGTGAGGGTGAATGGTGAGAGTGAGTGGTGAGTGGTGAGGGAGAGTGGTGAGGGTGAATGGTGATGGTGAGGGGTGAGTGGTGAAGGTGAGTGGTGAGGGTGAGGGGTGAGTGGTGAGGGGTGAGTGGTGAGGGTGAGTGATGACGAAGAGTGGTGAGGTTGAGTGGTGAGTAGTAAGGGTGAGTGGTGATGGTGAGGGTTAGTGGTGAGGGTGAGTGGTGAGTGGTCAGTGGTGAGGGGTCAGGGTTAGTGGTGAGGGTGAGTGGTGATGGTGAGGGGTGAGTGGTGAGTGGTGAGGGTGAGTGGTGAGTGGTGACGGTGAGTGGTGAGGGAGAGTGGTGAGGGAGAGGGGTGAGGGTGAGTGTTGAGGGTGAATGGTGAGGGTGAGTGGTGAGGGTGAGTGGTGAGGTTGAGTTGTGAGGTTAAGTGGTGAGGGTGAGTGAGAAGGGTGAGTGCTGAGGGTGTGGTGAGAGTGAGTGGTGAGGGTGAGTGGTGAGGGTGAGTGGTTAGGATTTGTGATGATGGTGAGTGGTGAGGGTGAGTGTTGATGTTGAGGGTGAGTGGTGAGGTTGAGTGGTGAGGGTTAGTGGAGAGTGGTGAGTGGTGATTGGTCAGTGGTGATTGGTCAGGATGAATGGTGAGTAGTGAGGGTGAGGTTGAGTGGTGAGGTTGAGTGGGGAGGGTGAGTGGTGGTTGTGACGGTGAGTGGTGAGTGGTGAGGGTGAGTGGTGAGGGTGAGTGGTGAGGCTGAATGGTGAGGGTGAATGGTGAGAGTGAGTGGTGAGTGGTGAGGGAGAGTGGTGAGGGTGAGTGGTGATGGTGAGGGGTGAGTGGTGAGGGAGAGTGGTGAGGGGTGAGGGTGAGTGTTGAGGGTGAATGGTGAGGGTGAGTGGTGAGGGTGAGTGGTGAGGTTGAGTGGTGAGGTTAAGTGGTGAGGGTGAGTGGGGAGGGTGAGTGCTGAGGGTGTGGTGAGAGTGAGTGGTGAGGGTGAGTGGTGAGGGTGAGTGGTTAGGATTTGTGATGATGGTGAGTGGTGAGGGCGAGTGTTGATGTTGAGGGTGAGTGGTGAGGGTGTGTGGTGAATAGTAAGGGTAAGTGGTGAGAGTGAGTGGTGAGGGTAAGCGTGAGTGGTGAGTGGTCAGTGGTGAGGTTGAGTGGTGAGTAGGAAGGGTGAGTGGTGAGTGGGGAGGGTGAGTGGTGGGTGGTGAGGGTGAGTGGTGAGGTTGAGTGGTGAGTAGGAAGGGTGAGTGGTGAGTGGGGAGGGTGAGTGGTCAGGGGTGAGGGTTAGTGGTGAGGTTGAGTGGTGAGTAGGAAGGGTGAGTGGGGAGGGTGAGTGGTCAGTGGTGAGGGGTCAGGGTTAGTGGTGAGGGTGAGTGGTGAGGGTGAGTGGTGAGGGTTAGTGGTGAGCGGTGATTGGTGGTGGTGAGTGGTGAGGGTGAGTGGTGATGGTGAGTAGTGAGGGTGAGTAGTGAGGGTGAGTGGTGATGGTGAGTGGTAAGGGTGAGTGGTGATGGTGAGGGATGAGTGGTGACGAAGAGTGGTGACGTTGAGTGGTGAGTAGTAAGGGTGAGTCGTGAGGGTGAGGGTTAGTGGTGAGGGTGAGTGGTGAGGGTTAGTGGTGAGGGTGAGTGGTTAGGGTTTATGGTGATGGTGAGTGGTGAGGATGAGTGGTGAGGGTGAGTGGTGAGGGTGAGTGGTGAGTGGTGAGGGTAAGTGGTGATGGTGAGTAGTGAGGGTGAGTGGTTAGGGGTGAGTGGTGGGGATGAGTGGTGAGGGTGAGTGGTGAGGGTCAGTGGTGAAGGTGAGTGGTGAAGGTGAGTAGTAAGTAGTGAAGATGAGTGGTGAGTGGTGAGGGTGATTAGTGAGTAGTGAGGGTGAGTGGTGAGGGTGAGGGTGATTAGTGTGTAGTGAGGGTGAGTGGAGAGGGAGAGAGTGAGTGGTGAGCATGAGTGGTGAGGGTGAGTGGTGGTGGTGAGGGTGAGTGGTAAGCGTGAGTGGTGAGGCAGAGGGTGAGTGGTGAGGGTGAGTGGTGAGTGGTGAGGCTGAATGGTCAGGGTGAATGGTGAGAGTGAGTGGTGAGGCTGAATGGTCAGGGTGAATGGTGAGAGTGAGTGGTGAGGGTTAGTGGTGAGGGTGAGGGAGATTGGTGAGGGAGATTGGTGAGTTGTGAGGATGAATGGTGAGGGTGAGTAGTGAGTGGGAGTGGTGAGTGGTGAGGATGAGTGGTGAGGGAGATTGGTGAGGGAGATTGGTGAGTTGTGAGGATGATTGGTGAGGGTGAGTTGTGAGTGGTGAGTGGTGAAAGGTATTGTCAAAGCCCACCGGGCTTTGACAATACCTTAGTATCTGTGTATATATGTAAGGTTATTAAGAAATATATTTTTCACCCGGGCAACGCCGGGTACTTCTACTAGTACCATATACAAGTTAACAGTACAAGTTATTTGTCATAGGGATAACAAAAAAACCCAGCACAGAATGTGTTTTGTATGCACAAAATAATCATCCCAATGGGTCTAAAGACGTGAGTTTTCAATCGGTACATATTGGCTGCATGACGTGGATCAGAAACCTTTGACTCAAATTGAAACGAAAATTGAAAATAACACGAAGAATGACACTCAGAGACACAAAGACCAACGTTGAGATCAGACAACCTAGCAAGTTATAAAGGTCATGCAGAGTGTTACGTAAGTAGGCTTAGACAGGACAAATCACTCAGAATGATGCTGATGGATGAGACTGGAGATGGAGTAATGAAGATTATTTAATGCGAAGGAAATATTTTATTATGGCATCGAAAGAATGTAAAGGATGGAGAGTTTTCATCCAGCAGTGGAATGATAATAATGGCCGTTCATGATGATGATCACACATTTTGATTTCCAGTTTTAATCAACCCAAACATCCTGGTGAAAGGTTGTGCCAAAATACGCATAATTTTAAAATAAATATAAGATGATATACTTGTTAAAAATAATTGTTACTTACTCGAAATATAGTAAATAACCCAATTAAGGATTCATAAAAAAAACCTTCCTCACATTTTCAGTAGCATATAGAACGTTGTCAATTAATTAAATAAATTACTTTTGGGGGGGAGGATATAGAATTACAATAGGTATTTTACATGCGTGAGCTCAAGTTATCATCCTTGCAATAATAAATCATTGATAAACAGTTTTACCGTTAAAAACCAAACACGGTACGAACCTTTGTGTTGCTGCATACAACAGGCAAATTACAAGAGACACTACTGCTGTTTTCACAAAGGGTTTATAGTCGTACTTACTCGCTCCAAGTCCGTTTACTTGCAGCAAATAGATGAAAAGTGTAAGTAAATAAACGGCCATTGCGCTTATTGTGAAATGCGTTAACTTCACGTTTCAGTACAAATTCCAAGATGCAAAGTTGATGCTGAAGCAGGCTGCTCTCTTCCAGAAAATGGAAAATAAAGTATTGGTCCTGCGCATATTGCTTAATTTGGTTGGGGAAGACCATTGTGATTAAATCTGCGAACCGGAAATGCGTCATGCGTGGTTTTACTTCTTGTAGTGTTGATGGAAAGGCACTCTTTGCCATTAAGATATGGTCGTACGAGTTGGGTCTTATGAGGAAGTTGAAGATAACTCAACATGCGCTTTGTTTGTACTTGCATTCTTTCAATTTGTACATACACAGTGTATTGTACCCCAATTAGCGCGGTTGACAACGCACGGTGCGAAAGAAGTTTAACATACATACAATTGAGAGGTACTTTATACGGTGTGTAAACTCAAAAATTGCAAAGGAGTTGCGGATATATTCTGCCAGTGGGGGAGGAGATGTGTGTGGACGGTACGAGGTATTAATGGGTGGCAGGGATGAATGGGACAGAAGGATTCAGGACAGCTAGGAGTGGGCATTATTAGTCAGGAGGCTGAGGGTTTGTAGAGCTCCATTGTCACTGAGCATGACCTGGTGGCACACTGATGAGAGCAACAAAGCATAGGACGGGCAGAAGGGAGACAAAGCAAAATAAAACGCGGCTAGCAACAAGTCCATGGTGCATGTGGCTAAATGAGGCTCTCGTAAGCAGTGGACCAAAGTAAGTGGTGGGCTCCCTGGGATTCGGGCCCAAGGTAGGCAACAGACCAAAAGGACCACCATGGAAGGAATGCAGAATAGAGGCATTCTGAAAGGGCATGCGGTTTTCAGCATTTAGGCCAGGATGCAGGTCGATAAGGTCTGGGGTTGGAGGTGTGTAGTTCCGACAAGTATCTGTAATTTAGTGAAATACTTGACAATTTGTTTTCCATAACCAACCTTATTGCCCAGATTCTTATATATCTCGCATGTACACTGCTTTGATACATTGTTCAACCACATACGAGAGGCAGATTTTAATGCAAACACGTATCTTATTTATAATAAATCAGAGCGCCAATCATCAAATATAGAACTGACAATTGATTCTAGATTTGAAGCTTTCGTGACTGCAATGATTCATATTCTTAGGTTTTTTCGGTAAAGTCACGTAGGTAAAAAATATTAAAAAGTAAAATAAAATAAAAATCACGACGTTTCGGAGGCAACACAAGCTTCCGTCTTCAGGTGGTACCGTCACAGCCACGACGGCTGTATCAAGTAAATGAGAGATTGTAGGAACTACCACTCCGTTTATATAATGGTCGGAGAAGGTGGGGGTGCAAGGGCCGCATACTTTTTATTACCATATTAATAAAAATATGGTAATACCATATTTATACCATATAATACCATATAACACCTTACCATATTAATAAAAAGTATGCGGACCTTGCACCCCCACCTTCTCCGACCATTATATAAACGGAGTGGTAGTTCCTACAATCTCTCATTTACTTGATACAGCCGTCGTGGCTGTGACGGTACCACCTGAAGACGGAAGCTTGTGTTGCCTCCGAAACGTCGTGATTTTTATTTTATTTTACTTTTTTAATGTTTTTTTACCTACGTGACTTTACCGAACTGACAATTGGTCCAAACAATAATGATACTTTTATACAAATAAAAACAAAAATAAATTAATAAATGGCGTAATTCGGAATTGGGTTAACATGGCATCACCCAGTGCACAAAATCATTTTAATTTGCACACAATGCCACAAAAGCTCTCAGTTTGTAGCAAATGGTCTCTTATGCGAGTAAAGTGACATTGAATGAGTCACTGGAGCGCGTGGCGCTGGGAGATTGGTAGACAATGGAATTATGGGTAGCAGTGCGCTCTACCAGTTGACCCGTGGGCCAGAAGGGTGCGTGGCCGAGAGTGGATCCTGGCCACGCTGGGGAGAATAAAAGGCGAGCTCCGAAGGTCAGGAAATGTCAGAGAATTTGTGGAGGCCAGGGCAATGGTGAGGGTCATTAGTGGAAGGTAAGGCAACAGTGGCGTCGGTGACGACATTGCCCAGAAACAGCATAAGGAGATGACAAATGCAAAGATTGAAAATAGAATATAGAGAGAACTATAAGGAGATGGATAAGTTGCTTACAAAGTTTATATAGTAATACCCCGATTTGCACCCCCACTTTTTACATCGTTTCACAAATACGTCGTCACTTTATTATTACCATTACCTGATGGCATCGCCTCAACCCACACTTACTTCACCGACAGCATCATCCCTCTCTTCTCGTACGTATAGGTTGCCTCTCAACCTTCGCCTCCACCACTACCCTGTAAATCGCTTTGATTGAGGTCGTTTCGATATTCATCGTCGCACCTTTCAGGAACGCATCCCCGGCATAAACTGGAGTGTTACTGCACTGCATTTTATTACCAGCAAGATTGTGTGGATTTCTTTAGGAGGAGGTTACCATCCAACGAGAAAAAAATCCAAAACATATTTATTCTGTACACACTGTATTTTTATTCAAGTTAGCCAGCAAGTGTACAGCTCCTCTTATGGGTAGTGAAGTAGGGCACGTTATGCACGGCTTAGCAAAATATCAGCTACAAATGCACATCCTATTATATATTTGTATTCACTGTTTGATATTGTCATCATCTCCATTATTGTCCATCACCTCGAGTATTAGTACTGTATCATCCCCCATCAGAATCATTCTTGATCATCTATTATTAACATTATCTTCTATAATTATCATACTTTGAAGCAAATTTAAGCAGAATTATCCTCATAAGCAGCATCCGCTGCCTATCATCCAGCACTGCACAGGAGCCATTCCCTTGGTCTTGTAATATTCATTATCTGGAATGTCAACTCAAACCTGCACACATTCACGCATACAAAGAAAAAAATACAAATACAAGTGCTGTTAGTGAATAGCACCTATGAAGCCAATACGGCATACGAGAGGGTAGGTGGCCAACTTCACACCCGGCCACCTTTGACTCCCCAGTGGTGATGTTAACACACCGTACTAGGTACTCATTGGGAGGCAGAGTCGATATAGGGGAGGCCCATGACCGGTTCAGATAATCGTCACTGGTGTTGACCGTGAGTGGGAATCGAACTCGTGTCACCCGGTTTGTAGTACAGTATGCTAACCGCATACGCACAAGAATGTACACGAATGCAGGCAATGTGAAAGCTAGCAAGTTTATGTGTGTATGTACAGTATGTTGAACTTCTTTCGCATCATACGCAATTGGAGGTGAAAAAGTAGATATGTGTGGCAGAAGAAACTGGTGTACGAGCAATTGAACGCTTTGGGTGAGTGAGTAAATGCGTGTACCTGTGGTGGGCCCCACCGAAGGATATTAACCTTATCATGGTGGTGGGGTTTGTTTGTCCCAATGACCCTCAGAACTATGTCGCCTGGAGTCTTGTACTCCTGGTAGGGTCGCCCTTGGTGAACTGTTCTGGCGGGGGGGGGGGAGGGGGTTCCAAACAACAACGGTCCCCTTTGGGAGCTGCAGTGGTCCCCTGACAGAGGCGTAGCTAGGATATTTTGTGCCCGGGGACGAACTATAAAATTGGCGCCCCCCGCCCCCCCCCCCCCCCCCGTTTAATCACATTTTCCTATTACATCGAATAAGGAATAACAATTTAAATTTTAATTAAACATTGTATTTAAAGAAGCAAATTTATAGAAATTATATTACATGGCTCACTCATCCACTGTCGTAGACTGGTTGACATAGTCTACAAAATATGAATTTTTCTTGATTTCACTGCCGCAAACTGGTCAATCACGTAATAAAAATCTGTTTTTTTCCAATGTTTCTCTTTCAACGCTAAGAAGAACAAGATCGCTGAGACGATCTTGTCCCATTGAAGCACGCAAATACGACAAAATAAGTTTCAATTTGCTGAACGACCGCTCACAGCTTGCAATTGAAACTGCTATTGTTAATAAAATTTGCAGTGAAATTCGAAAATTCGGAAATGTCGTCTCCATAATACACAATAAAACCAAGAAGATCCAAAGGAGTTTCTGGTAGAACTTAATTCCGGTTACTGAGCAGCATTTTGCAATCTCCAATTTCTGTGAAAAGTTCGTGGCCATTGATGTCGGTGTCATAGAAATTTCCAAAATCTGTGCAATTTCGACGAATTGCATCGACATCTGTGTCGGATAGAAGAGTTTTGACGTCCAGTAGAAATCCAAATTTTGTGTTCAGGTCTTTTAGTCGTAAAAACCGTGTTGACATCTCCTGTTGAAGTCGATCAAATACGCTCTTCATAACGCGCACAATTTCTTCTTCTGCTGAAAGTCCTGCATCTCTTGCCAGTTCTCCTGGAATCTTCCGACGTCGCCTAATTCTTCTGTCCACATCGATCCCCCAGGCTGTGCATCTTGTTTTGGCGTTTTCTACAGCAACTTGGCTCAAATCATCACGAAGCTTGACAAATTCATGCTCCAAAGATTCAAGATCAGTTGCTGCTTCCTTGAAATTCATAGTAGGATCCTGTAAGCGCTTTTGAACACGATAAATTTTTCCAAGAATGACATTCCAGAAATGTAATAAAACTATGAAGTTAAAATTTAATACGCATGCCTGTAACTGTTCTGCATCACTTCTGGTTTCAGGCGTCATAGTTACGTCCTCCGATAATTTGTCTAGCAGCCCTACTAGTTCATCCAGTCCTTCATAGATAGCTTTAACAGCTTCTGATCTTGCACTCCAGCGTGTTTCAGACTCCCGATTTACTGTGATGGGCACAGTTTTTTTAACTCTTCCAAACGAATTGTTGAACGAGAGAAAAACAAATATATACTTTCAACTGTTCCAAAGAATGTGACGACAAGTGGATCCTGTTTAGCTGAGTGTACTCCTGCTAAGTTTAAGCTGTGGTTGTCACAGTTGACAAACAATGCTCTGTGATTTTTGTCACATATTCGTTGTTGAAGGCCGGATATATGCCCAGTCATCACAGCAGCATTGTCATAACATTGTGCCCGACAGTCGGCTAGAGGCATGTTGTCAGA